CATCGTGAGCCAAAACCAGCAGGGTGCGTGTGTGTGTGGGTGGGTGGGTGTGCTTACCTTTTGTTCAAGTCTTTTGCAGAGGCAGTTTATTCCTTTATCACCCACTTTCCAGTCAGTTTCCATGTTGGACTCTTTCAGTAGATTATGAAAATGTAAGTGCTGTTGCACAACATCTGCCAGGTGCAAAAAAGTGTGTTGTTGTTCAGCCAGTCATTTACCAAATGCAGCAAATTGTCTTTATGTAAATCACTTTTTCAGTGCAGATCCTCCTCCCATTTCTTGGCCCTGTATGTGTATTAGAGCATTTAACTGGATTTAGCTGTGTACACAGGATAAACAGTGTGACTCTGAATCTAAATGTGATTACAAACTGGCTTTTTTTTCACCCCAAATGAGTTCATGATCTAGTTGCTGTCTGGTTGAAGCTGCCCCTATTGAATGAATGCCAGATATTATTATTATTGTTACATGAGCAGTTTTTTTTACATAGTCGTCTCATTTAGCCGGTAGCCGTGGGCAGTACACGCCATCTGGAACTTTGGCCCTCTCCCGCAGTCACAGACACAGACGGTGAAACAAAGCATGTACTCTTCCTGTCTTACACTTGACTGCGGACGGTAGAAATCTAATTAGTGTCTGTTAACAAACTATCATCTTGCCATTATCAGTTTATTTTCTTTTCATGTTTCAGAAAATCTGTAGCATTCTTCCATGTGTCCCTGTCTTCTTACATTATTCTCTCCTCATTGTCCCTCTTTGTGCTTTGTTAAGTCCTGCGCCTCCACCTCTGCCAGCACTAGAAATATAATCGAGCTGTTGGAGCTTTGGGAAGCCTAAATACAGCAACCACCGGACCACTCCTCAGTTGTGGTCTAATCTCCCAGAAATAATGTCTTGAATAACCTCCCACTCTCATCTTGCAGTGCTCTGCTCTTTACAAACAATAAAATGTTTTGTCACTTTTCAACAGAATAGTAATCACAGTCCTTTCTCCTCCAATTACTGAAAACAGTGCTTGCTTGCATTGGCTGCAGATTGTAACTGTCCAACCTGCAAACAGATTGTGAGCCTTTTCATTCAGTGGTTTATGGCTCATGACAAATGCTTGTTCAGCCTTTCAGATGCTCACTGTAAATGTCAGTCCACTGTAGTTTAATAGACACTCAACCACAGGCACTCATCCTCACCACTACACGTTGGATTTTTTTATTCAGTTTTATAAGGCTTGGTGAAAGATGGTGATGGTGTGTAAAAGAACTAGCAGGGTTGTAAATCCTGCAATAACATCAGGGTTGTCTAAACCTAGAGCATATTGTAGTTCATTTATATTGTATTTCTAAGCCAGTGTGAAGCTTTATGTGTGGCTGGAGTTTGCTAGTATTTTTATCAAATGGTACTGAAGAACTGAAATACCATAGTTTTGAGTGGCAGCGTAATACACGTTCACAACCTGAATGTGAGATGAGCAGCAGAAGATATGAAATGTTGATGAAATATGTGTCTGACACGATTAAATAAGGTGTTGCATTTGCTTTTATACCTTATTTTTTTACAAGCTCCACATACTCGAGGTCCTTATGCAAAACTGTTAAGTTGATAAGCTGAAAATATTGCTATGATAAGAATACAAGTTTTACTGGGAGATCTTCTTGAAATTAATGTGACATGATTAGTTATTTCTCCAGAAAGGACTTGCCACTCTGCTGGTGTTGTAAAATACAAATCACACAGTCCATTCACAGTTGTAGTATGGCATTGCAGAGAAATAGTTTCTTTTCCCTCACTAATGATCAATGGGTGAGTACAGACACCAGCTGAAGAGAACACATTAACGATTAATTGATTAACCTATTAGTCGATTACATTTGACGGTTTAAGCTCCTCAAAAGTCAGATTTTGCTGCTTTTTCTGCTGTCTTTACATGGTAAACTGAATACCTCTGGCTTTTAACTGTTTAGTCAGGCAAAACCAGACATTTGATTAGAGATTCATAACCTTCAGAGTCTATTTTCTTAACCAGAAACGTGATCCACACAGAACCAACCCTTGCTCTAAGTTTTCATCATAGTAAACTAATGTAGGTTAAATAGGTATACCGTTTTGAAGACATGATTTGATATAAAATTATTGTAGCAGCCCCTGTTGACCTGAGATACACTTAACACTGTAGATTCTTTTAAAATTAACAGTAACATTGAACATGGTTGGGTTTATTTCATGGCAGGAAGTTCTGTCAGTCAAATCCAGGTTGGCCATGTGTTGAGAACAGCCAGAGGGGCTCCAGCTCCCAAACCCTGCCAGCCTCCTCATGTTTGTTTAATTAAATCCTGCATCACTAAGCTTTGTTTGATAGTTTTTTTTATTGCACAAACGGTTCTATTCAGTTGGCTCATGTTTGTTAATGACTGATAAATGTTCATATGTGAGTTTTCAACTGAAGTTTAAACTCCTTTAATATTTCATTCATACATTTGTGTATGTAAACTTGCTCTGCACATTTCAGTCATGTTAGATCTGTGCTTTAGTATCTGATTTACAAAGCATAAAGGAAAGAAATGCTATGGAAGTTGCATCTATGATGACATGTTAATTGTGTTTCCAGGGATAAATAACATGCAACTCTTAAGGTGCAGAATCGGTTTGAAATGATGCAAAAAGATTAATACTGTCTATTAAGGGAACAGATAGTGTTGTGGTTGCTTTAGACAATTCATTTATGCATCACATTGGCAGAGGTTTGTTGCTTATTCAGACTTCATATTGTGGGCACTTGTACAGTAGCACAGCAAAGTCCCTTCGGTCAATTAATGGCTGCTGTGATGGTTTTGCTATCTGTTTGTCATGGCAGTGTCAATGCATGTTTGTGCTCTTTCAACATTATATAGAGGCTTATGGGTCAGACTGCAGGGATTTGGTTGCCATGGAAACTAGCAAGACTACAGCCTGGTTTGTCCTTACGACAAGTATGAAAGTGTCAGTGGAGTTGTCTGGAGGCCAGTGGAGGTAGTTGACTGACCAAATGAGAAGGAGCGAACTGCTGACCCGTTGGAGACCTCTCTGTCTGAGGGGATGCACTCCTGAGGTCTAAACTGTAAAGTCCAGCAGCAGTAGGTCACAAATCATACTTCCTGTCTAGTCTTGAAGAGGTTTTCCCACCTGTCTGATCATCACTTGTAGTCAGTTCTATTTATTTAGATTTATTATATATATTGTGTAGACTTCTTACAAGATTTGGTTTTTCATTTTTATAAATACTCAACTTTATTACTGATTCCTTAATAAAACGGAGAAATGAGAAACATTATTTATGGCTTCTAACTATCATATTGGTTGCATCGCACCATACAATTTTATATTATTCTACTCTGCTGATTTGGAAGCAACATCTGTAAAACTTTCCTATTCATATTAAATTTGCTGCAACCAATGGTAGCCACTTTCACCACCTATTTCTCTTTGCCATGTTTGATCTGATTAGGTGCTAAAGCTGAAACATGTTCACTCTGAAGACCTAGTTATTGCCCAGTAAAGTAGGACTGACTACTTTAGTCCTGATTCAGCTGTTAACACAAGACTACAGATCAACAGAAACTTTTCTGAGAAAAACAGTGTGTACATTTTGGACTGAGAGCATAGGCGGTTTTTGAAGAAGAGTAAAAGTACGACCCTCCCTAACCAGAGTGGAGATGGGACCCTGACTTCAGTTCTCATCTTCTTACAATACAGTCTCAGCAGCAGTGGTTTCACGACAATTTTCACTTCCATTTGTGCGTCACTAATGACTGACATGATTGCCCTGTGACCTTAATAACTCTCACACCCTGAGGGTGTGAATTACACACAAGGGTCTGATGTGAGGGAAGTCCCCACATGGCAAAAACAACATCAAGGGAAAGAGTAAGAAGGGAATCTGAGCTCAATACCCTACAGATTTGTTAACCAGGCTGAATGCCAAAAACGGTCTGTGAAAATGTATTTGTTAGTTTCTCCTCAGTCCAGGAAGAAATCCTTCGAGTTTACAGCATAGTTTATCAATTAGTATACGAACAATTCTTTGACATTGGATTCTTAATGATTTGGAGTGTGCAGAAGAAAAATGACCTTCTTGTCTCTGTCTCAATGTTAAGGTGCTGTCCAAGGAGCTGGGTCTGGGGCAGTGATGGAGGGTGAGCTCTGGAGTTACTGCCGTCACAGCAAGGTACCAAATTTAACATGAGGTGTGTGACTCTCACTGCTACTTTACATACACTGTTGTGTGTAAGGTTAGTTTGACATGAGATGGCTTGGATTGCAATCATTACTTTATGGCTTGTAGTTGACCTCAGATGTCAATAGATTTTGTTGAATTACCTATATATATTACATCAGTGCAGCTGTTTAAGAAGAGAACACATTGCCAATGCATGATCCTGTTTTGTTTGACCCCAAGATCAGTATGTACTAAAGAACAAAACTTTAAGTCTCTATTAAAAAGATAGTCCAGTAACTAAAAACATTAATATTAGTTTTGGCTTTCTGACAGTAATCTGATCGTACCTACCAGCAATCAGACAATTAGAAAACAATAGTGGAAACATGCATCACAGTTTGCAAACTTGGTGTATTTGCTGCAATTGTTTTTGTGTTCAATAAGTGATTATATTGTACGTAAAATGAATATCTTTGTGTTTTAAACTTTTTAACATTTGATATTCACTATTTTCTGACATTTTATAGGAAAACTATTTGGCAGATTAATCGTTAGTTGCAGCTGACTGCCTTCTTTTCTTGCCTCATTTGAACTGAAGTTGACATGTTCCCAAATTCCGGCTATTACTTTGGCAAGTACAAAAACAAGACAAGTTGTAGTAATATGTAATTATCCATTCAAAGTTGCTTGGATTCCCTAAATAGTATTATATAGTAGTATACTGTAGTCAAAATGTAATATAAAACACCTTTCTATGTAGTTGCTGTGAAAAGAAAATAACTTTAGACAACATCATCTCAAGGATAAATAATGGTTGTACAAGTCATATTTTATTCCATGTGCTTTACAAGGATATAAATAATGGCCAAAATTACAAAAATCAGTGTGCTGGAAGCCCAAGCCTATGTACATTAGTTGGTCAGCAGTGATGTCACCAAATAACCCATTTCAGTTTTCACTCAAAATACAATCTCTACAATCTACCACTTGTTTTTTTAAATTTTTTATTTCCAACCATTATTTTGGTACCTTGTTTCCAGTGCCATGTACTGTAAATCCTTTATTCTTTTCTCTTTTACATTACATGTATGAACAATGAGTTGGCAAAATATCTATGTACATTTTATAATTGGATAATGTCTCATCCAAATAATACAGTAATACTGCGTTTAAAATAGTACATCTGCTAGATAAGAGTAGAGCCCCATGAGAAATGATGGAGGGTTGACCTGACAAGAGTTAGCTAGCCACCTGCAACATTCACTCTCTGTGTATAAGTATGATCATCTAGTTTGAGATTTTTTAAAGGATGGCCATCATTCTCAAGCCCAAGGTTTTCATTTCAGCATGTCATAGAAAAATAATGTAACATTAAGACAACAGTAGACAAGAATTGCACAAGAATAATCATAATCATCATGGTAATATAATACTCTCATATTAAACATTAAAATGTCGGGCAATACGAATAGAATACTTTTTTTTTTTTTTAAACATCAGATGCAGTTTTGTTCACATAGGTTCATCATCCATTATGACACACGAGTCATCAGGACACACCTGTTGCAGCTTAAGCGTGTTGCAGCTAGTCCAATCACATGTACACGCTTGTGCATATATCTCTGTATTATTTTCTGACTTTAAAGAAAATAAAAAGACCGAAAGAGCCAGCCAGATGTCCTCGAACCCATGCCCATTCCAACATTGACACATGCCCAGTGGTGCCTTTACTGAGCCCATTGTCTGTTACCAACAGATGCCCTGTAACCTCCCAAAAGTTCAAAGGTCATGCCTCCCATCTGGCTGCATAAAACAGATCCTGCTGTAGTTGCAGAAAGTTGAGGCTGCTTTCAAATAAGTGTACATTCAGAGCAGATCGTCGTCTGTCAAGATGCAGTCCTGTTAGTGTGTGTGTGTGCAAGTGTCTGTTGGTCCAATGTTTACTGTGTCAAGCATCATGTGGATGAATGATGTTAAAATTTTTGTAGTCAACCTTAAACACTGTGGAGTGGCATCCATGTTTGTAGTCCTTTGTAGTCCTTTTTGCATTGTATGTGTGACAAGGTCCGTGTTTAGGGCTGGCTACATTCTTTGCATTCCACAGTAATAGACATGAGCGTCCGGCATTGCCCTGCAATGAGATGACATCACTTATCGAGAGAGCCCTCACACCCCGCCTCTCCACCGGCCCCCCTGCTCAGCAAATCCAAAATGGCCACCATGCGTCTCACAAGCCACATGCTAAACCTTTTACATACAATATTTTCTTCCCCCAAATAAAATTAGATTTATGGCCAGGGAAAAATCCATGTGGTTAAAATAATTCTAAACATATACACACGTGCTGAAAAAGGTGCTATAAAAGCAAAAAAATCACCTATATCTTCCTGTGTCACAGGTCAAGTTTAAAGTTGTTTGTCAAAGAAATTCACAAGTTTGTTAGTATTTTCAAAAAAATAATCTGATATAAAGAATCAAAAAGTTGAAATACATTCTAGTAGCCTGCTGGATGAACCAGTTTGAGTCAAAGTTAGACTGTGCTACATCACCTCTCCTCTTTGATTAAAAAATGTTTAAAAAGTCTGAACCTTTCCTCCAGTTGTCATGTTTAGACAACAGCCCTCAACATTGTCAGCTCCCACACTGGGCTCAACAGACAGCTAAAACACTGTTTCGGCTCTTAGCAGTATTCTGGTTTCTAATCTCATTCAAGTTGTCAGGGGGCAGCTGGACAGAGGGGCTGAAATGTAGATAAAAGCGAGGGATGGAGGCAGTTGGAGGATAAAAAAGGAGAGAGACGAAGCCAAACGGTTACACCCATCACCAGGAAGCAGAAACAAAAAGCAGAACAACCCACTGGTTGACCGCTGACAGACCGACAAACAGGAAGTGGAATAACTGAGTTGACCATTCCCCCTACAGGTGGAGACAGAAGTGCACCACAGACCTGGGTTCAAAGGCCATGCGCCAGCCCTGCAGGCAGGATGGGGCCCGGGCCAAAGAGGGGGAGAGCAGAAACGAAAGAGAAGAAGAGACAAGGAGAAAGAGAGACAGCGCAGTGCCAAATGTCATCATGCAGTGGACAGGCTCGTCTAACGGGGGCGGGGCGGGATGTTTTGTTTTTTATTTTTCAGCCGGTGAGGTGACGCGGCGGCGTGCGTCGCTTGAGCCCAACTCCGGGGCAGGGCCCCGGTACAGGGAAACCTCTGAAAGGCACACACACACAGGAGTGGACAAGGCGGGTGTATGTTAGAAAATAGTGGTCTCGTACTTGGTGTTGACTCCTCTTTTGGCCTCCTGACCCGGCTCCACAATCCACGGCACGTTGGCGTGGCCCTTCTGGTCCATGGACGGTTGCTCCATCTGTCACAGAAAGACATGGAGAAGGAGGGAAAGGGGAAAAAGGAAGAGTGGGACAATGATACAAATTATTTTCAGTGACCTGCATACTCATATTTTGCATGTTTTCAGACCCAACAATTCATCATGACATAGTTTGGATGCCAACGGCTGTTTCCTGGTTTTGAAAATTTACATTTTGCGCACTTTAGTGGCAATTTTCAGATACAGTTTCATGCTAATAAAGTCGGTTAAAAAGAGTGATATGATGAGCGGATGGAGGATGTGATGCTTACAAAGTAATGTAATGGAAAAGAACTCAGATGTGAAAGGGAGATAAGATAAAGATGAGGAAGCAGAGAACATGAACCAAAACCTAGTCTGACATTACAAAGAATTTCCTTTTAATTTTAAATATCTATACATTTCTATATACAAGATCCTGCTGGTCCTGTATGATTGCTTTTATAATGTACTGAATATGCAGCAATCACTTTGTGAACATCCGAGCAGTTTCGAGTTCAAAGAACAGGGGACTGTCTGTTGCTGCCACTGTGAAGCTATTGTGGCTTCAAAGCTGAGAAACAAACCAAACAATCTACATTGCTTTCAAAAAGCAGCCCACGGCAACCAATCAAGCAGCTGGGTTTTGTTGCCGAGGGTGCTATTCCTCCAATCTATTGGTTTATTTTCAGATGAATGGGGGAAGGGGAGACTTGACTGTGAGAGATGCAGTAGAAGTAGAACACTAAATTTGTTCTTGCACTCCCTGTTTAAATTCAAATCTTAAATCCATCAACTTTTTACTTGAGTCAAATGTTAGGGTAAGGAGCTGAAGAGAGAGTCTGAAATCATAACTGTACAAAAAGAACAATTGCACTTAATGGATAGCAACCAGATGAACTGATAAACAGAAGACCCACAAGGCCTGACGTCTGCCATCCCAATATTGTCATATGTGTATTATTAACACAAGGTCAATATTTACTTTTTTAAATATCCTGGTTTAAATATCACAGTTACCATGAATATCCCCCCTCATATATATATAAAGTGTACATCAAATATAGCAAAATGCAGTCTCAATTTAAAGGAGAAGCGAAAGACGCATTAAACAGATGGATGTCTGAGTGTTATTGGAGTAAACAGAGTTCTGCAGTACAATGTTTTCTCTTATCTTCTCTCAACACACTGCTACACTAACAATACTATACTACCTATAGTATTAATCCAGTTCTCTATCCTCTCTCACACACACGCACACTTGGGCAACGACCTCATAATCTTGTTATGGGTTGCAGGATTAAGGACAGGCGCACAGACACACTTTCGATTCCACAGCACCACAACATCATCATGCTTAGTAAAGAACTCTGCCAGGGCAAAACCAGGAGCAAATTCATCACCCACACATGAAGCCACTGACAGAATTATGTCTGCCTTCAAAATAAGTTCTATATCAACAGCCTGTTTTGATTTTCTGCAGAAGGGTTTGAACATAAGCTTTACTTGAAGTAAAGCTGCAGACATCCACTGTGTGATTTGGCTCTGCAAACCTTCAAACTACAGAAACCTCAGTGACCAAAGATGATACAAAACACGCCATATGCAATGGAAGTCTATTGCACATTAGAGTCATTTCCTGGCACACTGTGTATGCTCTGGTAGTGCAGTCCTCTTTCGATGAATTCAGCTGCCTTGTTTGTGAGATGAAGATGTGGGTCAACATTCAAAAAGGGATTTAATGGATTGTGGTGGTTATACGTTTTTTCATAAACAGTTATCCAGTTTTGAAGTACCACCTAAATGTGCATCTTTAAGGAGGCAGTATATCCCCAGTCAGGAGTTGTGTATCAGTGCAGTGGGGCACATAAAAACTGACTGAGGTATTGCATTCTGTGCTGTATTAGTCATAAAGACATGAAGTGGGTTGGTTTTGCAAGACTGGCTGTAGTGTCACATTTGTCTGCTTTAATAGCAATGCTACTAACTGTTGATATGGAGATAGAGGTAGTAATTGAAGAATGACACACAAATATTCACTGCAAACAGGACACACAAGGGATGCAGAGTCGAGCGACAGAATAAAATGGAAGCACTTACATACGGCGCTTTCTCCTTGACTAAAAGAAAAGTCATATGGAAATAAAGGATAAGAGAAGGAAAAGCGTGGAGGACCTGTGACTGAGCTTTGTGAGGAAGATGGAAGAGTCGAGGGGGAGGAAGAGAAGGGTGGAGAGGAGGCCGGTGAGGGGTGTAAATGTGGCCCAGTGACCAGCGGCTGGAGGGGGGCATGATGACCTACAGGGGCAGAGGTCACATAGAGGTCAAAGTGGGCCTGCTTGGCAACACCAAAAAACAACAAAGCAGCAAGGCAAAACCACAACGATGACAGAGTAGCCGCACTGCAACAAGGAAATGAAATAACACTCCAAAACCAAAGCAAAAACCATGGCAACAACATGGCAGTAAAGTCATCGCCCTGGCAACAGCGTGGAACAGCAGCATTACTGCAATACAGCAAAACTCAAGCTAGAGTAGGCCACATTTATATAGCAACTCCTACATGGCAACAACACGCCCAGTAAGATGAATATGGCACAGTAACTTTACAAAACATCACTCTGCAAAAGCATCTTCACAAACCAGACTCATGTTCAAATTTCAAATGTTTTTCACCTTAAGTCATGAAACATTCTGCCAATGAAGTGAGATAGCTTGTGGCAGCATTTCAGTTGTTTTTACCTATAAATATGAGAGTTACGTTGGCGTCTAGATTACTAACAATGAATCAGCTGCTTGGAAACGAGATATTTTCACACCACTGGCAAGTTTTTTTTTCACTCACGTTAATAAACAGAATTATAAAAGTCAATCATACGGTTAGGATCATGTATGTCAATGCCGTTTTGAAGCTTCAGCTTCAGATTACACTAACATGCCGTTGCTGATCAAAGAACAGAGTCATATCAGACACGCTCACACTCATAAGGGTAAGTTAAGTGGATGTTGAGGGAGATTTACAAGCAGATGTGCTCAGATAACACACACACACACAACATAAAAATGATAATGAGAGGGTGTGGAGAAACTGATACTTGTGGGCAGAGAAACAAAACAACAGTATTTTATAGCACAGGGGCTTCAGAGGTGCTGCAGGATGGAGATTATGGCTGGCAGGTGGCAGGAATATTAAGTGAATCCTGCAGTATCTTTGCCCTGCTGCACACCACAAGCCATTGACTACACACCACACACACGGGCGGGCAGGGAGAGGAAAAAGGCAATTAATGGTTAATGTAACGGTAGCAGAGTCAGCAGATTGTGTGTACACATGCCATCGTCCATCATCTCAGTAGACACAGGACCACACACAAGCTCTGCGAAAACACAGACACAGGAGGAGTGTGAACACAAATACTGCATGTCCTCTTTTTCTATCTTTTGTCTTCCTCTGTCTCTCACTATCTTTCCTCACTGTCTCACATCTCGCTCTAACTTTAGTAGGTGAGCACATTCTTCCAAAGCCACTGATTCTCCTCCATCACCATGTCTTTCTTCCATGACTCACAGTATGCAAGTGGACTTAAATTTGGTGCAAGCACACTGATATAGCAGCCACCGTAACTCTATACCAGGTCCTCTCAGACACGTGCGGCTGTGCCAGCTGATGCGTCAGTGGAGGAGAGAAGTGCAGAGTGGGTTAGTGCAACTATTTTAAAGCTGTCTGGGGTTAATGGGAGGTTGACAGGTTTACAGAGACTTTTTGACGCTGTGGATGAGGCATGAAGAAAGGCCACACAAACAAATTCATGATAGAATGTGGGACACAAGTATTTAATATCTCAAAGCTAGGGCTAGTTATAAAATGGCAATACTTCATTGGGACCAACTCAAATGAGACAACTGTTAAAGGTACCCTGTGGTGTTTTTGACCACTCGTAATGTGTGTGGTGGAGAGGATGGGAGCAGCTTTGCTGCCTGGGAGTCCTGATAGCACTTGCATCATCAAAGCTGTCTGTAGGCAACGTTGGTTTCACACAATTCCACTAATTGGCAGTATGTGGTGATAACTTACAAAGATGTCCCTTTATAGTAAGGCAAGGCATAAAAAACGTCATAGTATAGTAAGGCATAAAAAATGTCATAAAATACGTAATAGTATAGTAAGGAATAAAAACGTCTTTAAAACATCATTGTATACCAAGGTGTTACCCCCCCCAATAGATGAATGTAGTTGTGGGTTGTGAATAAGGATGTAATCTCTTCTGCTCCTCAGGTGCTGCAGGCCTCACCCCTGGATCCTCCCTTCTTATTGGTGGAACTGCAGCTGATTAGTCACCGAGGCTACATAAAGGACTGAGGAGCTGCATTTCACCCTCTCTCTACCATGCTGCCTGCCTGTGTGTTTTGTGAATGCATGTTCTGTGCCTGCCACTACTTTTTGTACGGTAAATTTGTGTAAGTTTTAGACTAAAAAGAAGCCAAGAAGCCTGTAGGGGAGAGCTATTTTGTTATAATTCAGTTTTTCTCCTGTTTTTTGAGACTGTCTGGAAGGGCAGTATTGTGACCTTTTCTTTTGTTAGTTTCAGATTCATGTTTTTTTTGTTCTTAGTAGGATTATTCTGTTTATTTTGGCCTTGGCTCTCCTTGACATTACATTGTGGGTCAGGTTGGCAATAAACCTTTGAGATTTTGAACCATGTGTCTCCTTAAATTCTTCATCTAATTTTATATTACTCCCCTTTCGCCTAGACCAATTTGGGGTCATACCATAAAATACGTCATGGTATAGTAAGGCATAAAAACGTTATAAGAACGTCATTGTATACTAAGACATAAAAACATCATAGTATAATAAGGCATAAAAAACGTCATAATATAGTAAAGCAAAAAAAAAGTCAAAAACGTCATAGTATGGTAAGGCATAAAAACGTTATAAGAATGTCATTTAAACTAAGGCAAAAATAAGTCATAAAAACGTCATAGTACAGTAAGGTGTTACATCCCCCCATAAGTTAATG